AGGTTAATTTGTATGAAGTGCTCAGAGCTATCCTGGCAGACTATGTGTATATATATATGTTAACTTTTCTCATTCTGTTTATCTTGTTATTAACCAAATCTTGTCAAATATTTCCTGTGAATTTTCTGTTGTAGCCATTTTTTTTTTTTTTCCCATTCCTAGACGATCATCCTGGGTCTTTATACCACTTTCAGGAACCTGTTTAATGGCCTTAATTACTCAGCATCTTGGGCCTGCTACTACCAAAGTCATCTTCTTTGAACATGACTTTAGTCCTATCAGTGCTCCAAATGCCAACTTTTCTGCTCAGATCTTAAATCAGTTTCATGTTTTGCCTAATAATCAAGTTTAAACTTCTCTACCTGGATGTCATGGCTCTTCCTGACCAAGCGCAAATCCAGGTAGATCAGATCCGCTCAGTTTCATGAGCTTCCTATCAGCCATTCTATGTGTTCCTGTCAAGGGAGGTCATGATGGTACAAGCCAAAGGTGGAGAGTGAGGTTTTGGAACAACTAAAATGGAGACCTTTAACTACCCTGCCTGAGGGTTCATCCTTAAAGGAGATAACATGTAATTCAGGACAGGGAGGAAATAAGTGAGCAAGATATGGCCTGGGAGAGAGCCAGGTCACTCCTCAATGGAAAATCATCCGATGGCACCCATGTTTCTTATATCTTTCATTTAACCAACACTTCCTGTTCACCAACTCTGTGTCAAGACTTAGTGATGAAGAAATAAAAGCTACAAGCCCCACTTTGAAGGAGTCCATCATCCCTTTGGGGATGTCAGTAGGCAACCATGGAGAATGGAAGTCTAGAAACCATGAGGTTCAAGTACGTGATGGCTCATGGGTGGGGATAAGAAAGCTGACAAGAAAGCTGAGGAAAATGGCTGAAAAGGAAGCATTCAAGTATCAAAGGACAAGAAGCTGGGGAACTGTGGCAATATCCCTGGAAATTAAAAAGGAAAAGAAAGGCGGAGTTTCCCCTGGAGCGTTTCTAAGGAATGAGTATCGGGTGGGAAGTGCAATTTCTTCTAAGGATAAGGAAACTTTTGTTAAGCCAGAAGATTGGGTCAAAGGATAGGAAAGATATTGATATGATGACAAACAGTTTAACACTCGGAACTTCAACCAGGGGAAGTGGTAGGTAGAGAGTGACTGTGGAAGTGTGATCATCGGTGGAGGAGCTCTTGTGGGACAGTAGCAGCAGAGCGCAGGACTTTTAAGGCAGATGTCAGCAATTATGGGTGGAGATTTAAGGGGCAGCATGGGGTGACTCCAGGGCCACACCAAAGCAGTGGAGAAAGGAAGAAGAGAGCCACTTGGAGGGAAGAGAGTGAGGAAAACAATGAAGAACAGATTAAAGAGACTGAGCAGTTCTGGGATAATAACTGGACAGGAAAAGAGGTCTCAGGTGAGACAGTTCACCTTCTCCATTCCCCACATGCCCAGAGACAGCTGAGTTTTGTCAAGGCCCTAGATAATTTTAGGTTTGGTCTGTTTTATGGTTGCTTCTCCTGCAGTGGGTGGAGATACTGTATCTAGTTTAAAAGAAGGACATGTCAGACAAAAGGTTAGCTGTCTCCCCACAAAAAAAAGAAAGAACAGAAAATGTGATATCATGAAAGAGATTGATGTTTATTAGTGTCTGCTAAATGCAGAATGCACATAGTAGGCATTAATTCTCACACCAACCCTATTTGATGGATAATAGTATCCTTACTTTATGAGTGAGGGAAACTGGAGATCTGAAAGTTTAAAAACCTAGTCCAAAGTCACATGGTGGAGCCAGGTTTATAATCTAGGACTGTCCGTTCCAACTGTCTAAATGCCCTTTCCCTGCACATCTGGGGAGGACCTTAAAACTGTGCAGTTGGGCCAGTGTGGTAGAAAATCAAAACGCAGAGGCAACAGCCTTTTCCTCTGCACACATTTTAATAACAGCATTGGCTCAGCAGCTCTCAGGATTTCTGATATTGCTGGACCCCCTCAAATGCACAGTATACTGTCTTTGACTCTCTACCCCACCTCCCATTTCCCCGCTGCATCATGGGAGGCTGGCTGTCACTAATATTTTCAATGGTTTAGAGATATGTTACGTCTGCCAAAGTTATGCTTCATGATATCTTTGAAGAATTTCTGTGATCACCAAAAATTTCTAATCTCGAGTATCATAATTTAGTTATCACATTTTACTAATGAGGATTGGTTAATTTAATTCATCATAGTTTCAGCCAAAAAATTAAAATCTGGCTCCTCTCTCCCCATCTCTAATGAAAAACTAGTGAATTTCTCTAACGTTTTTCTAGAAGTCTTTATTTCTGTTCAGTCTCGAAAATCCAGACAGTTAAGATAAAGAGACCCCGATATAATTCACACTTGAAATCCAGACCCCTCTCTGGGCTGCTGACCCCAGAGTTTCATCTTCTGGCACTGCTCTTGTTTAGAGGTTTTATAAAAACAGATGTGTAATGATGCTGCCAGTCATAGGACGTTGGAATGGACTATAACATTTCCAAGCTACAGCGGCCATACCGATCGTCCAGATAAATCATCTCTTTTACTGACAAGGTGTGAGGGCTTAAGTGTGTTGCCCACTATCACATTGTGGGTAGTTTGTGACCAACTTCAGGTTAAATTTCAGGTCCTCTGACACATAGACCATCAAATTCCATTATACCTGCCTATCTTCTCTTGCTCAGATAAAGTTCTGTGTTGCCTCTCTCCAAACTATTTTCATAATATCTTTCTGAATGAGTAGCAAACCCATTTAATAGACATAGACGCTGAAGGTCATCATAAAGTTTAAATGACTGGTTCCTGAATATACAATGAATATTATAGAAAGAGGAAGAACTAGGGACAAAACACAAGGCTCCAGACTTAGAAATCAAGGATTCTGTCCTTTAGTGTATGTACTCACATAGATAGTAAGGATATTGGCAAATAAAATTAGCAGTCTTTCCAGGTTCTGGGTCATATAGTTTTTAATTTACTTCAGAGTTTAGTATTTGCTCTTCAAAAAAAAAATTGTTTAATTGAAATTTTCAGGGGTAGTGAATGGAGAAAATTATCTAAACACATTTTCTTTCAGTTAAGATTTGAGAATTTATCTTTCCGACAAATTTATAAATTCATCTAAACACATTTTCACTTAGACAAAAATGTTTTAAATAACTAATGTTTGCAACACAAGAAAAATATAACAAATTCACACAAAGTAGCAGGACGACCTGTTTTTATTTATTTATTTTCTTGTTTAAGCAAAGCGGAACACTGTTCTCAACTTTTCAAATGTTATTCTAGTTATGTCACACTATTTCAGTCTGTTCTGTGTCTGCTTGACTCTGTAACACTTATGGAGAGAGACAAGAATCACTGTGGCATTTACTGACCACCTACTATGGCCAGATGGCACAGATGGGTGGTGGGGCATCACCAAAGGGAACAAGGCACTATGGACACTCTTGAGAAACTCAGGGTAGTGGATAGCGGAGCATCAAGCTTTTAGGAAGGTAGAAAGCAGATGGCCTCAAGGAATTAGAGCAAAGAGGAATGTCATTTAGCCGAGGGGATTGTCTAGATTTTAAGGAGGAGCTGGGCCTTGAAATAATATTAGGATTTAGAGAAGAAGGCTGAAAGGAAAGGGAAATGCAGGTAGAGAAAACACATTTCTGAGGTTCCGAAATCAGCATACTGATCCTTAAGCTTTGCCGGGGTTATACTAAAAATTATTTTAATATATCCCCCTTAAGGAAATTAAAAGAAGTAATCCCAAAGAAGGAGGACTAAAACATATAAAGCCAATTTTCCCATTGACAAACATTTATTGGACATAAAACACTTGCCAGTTACTGTGCTAGGTATTAGGCACAAGAAGCTATAAGTAACTTTGAACAGATTTAGAATAGGGTTTAAAAATTGGACCCTCTCTTCAATTTATGATAAAATGTTTCATTCACAGAGTTATGCTATTATAAACTTTTTTCTAGGCATTCAAAGAATTCTGCAAATAATTCCATTATATATTATTTTCAGGGAAAATCCATAACAAGACAAACTAGTTACTTGTATATGGAATACAATCACATTCAATAAGACAGATTTCATTGCATAATAGACTAGACATAGAATGTTGTTCTTTCTGAAAGAATCAAGTTGCCTGGATGTACCGTCCCAGAGAACCGAGGAACATCTCTTGGACCCAAGACACTGACATGTGCTTCCTTCATTTGTACCTGCTGCCAGGCCATTCATAGAAGTTTCCCCCACATGCCATCCTTTGTCCTTCCTCCTACCTCCCAGATCTCACTTTATTATCATTTGCCCCCACCACATTGTACCTTTATGGCTTTATCTGGATGGTGTACCTAAAACGCACCTTTTATTTTAGCTCAACCAAAGGTGGCTACGGCAACACAATTGTTAGGCCACGTGTTGAGAAGCAAGTATTTATTATTTTAGAAAAGAAATGTCGGAAGTCAATGAAAATCACAGGACATTATAAATGGAGAGGAAATGTAGGTATTTCCATGTGATTATCATCAGATTTTATAAGTGTATTCCACAGTTATTTTTCTGATTACTTGGAATTCTAATACAGATGATGAAAGGATTTTTAAGAACACATTTCAAACATGTCACAATATGCCAAGAACATACAGGTATTCACATACACACACACACACACATAAAGGAAAAAGATATAAATGTTTATCAAAAGGAAAAAAAATGGGAAAGACAATGACAATGATACAAATGTGAACATAGTACTTACATGTTGCCCACATATAATTATAGAGCAGTAAAATCCATGAAAACAGAATGTTCCAATGGATAATAATATCTGTTTTTTTCTCCTTAAATGTTATAAGCTATGACCGAATATAATTTTTCCCTCACAGCAAATATCAAAATCTTTTCAAGTTTCACCGTTCGAGTGCAATGCACTAGATCACATGCAAAAACAAAAAGAAACAAGCCAAAGACATTTCCAAATTGGTGAGAAGTAATTTATTTAGAAAATTAAGCTTAAAAAATTATTTAAAGTTCATAATTTTATAATTGAAAAAGTTGGTAGTACAATTGATTTTTCCTAGGATATTTAGGAAATTTTCAATATTATATTTTAAAGGAAAAAAAAGAAAATATCAGAAATACCTGGGGAGGAAAATACATTAAAATGCACTGCATTATATTATGCTATTCCTATTAAAATTATAGTTTTTCATGGTAATTACTCAACAAAAGTAACATTTACATATTCATATAAATCAAGTTTAAAACAAGGGTAACTGATTTCACAGTTATTAAACCAGAAAAGGTTTTATCAAAACAAAAAAGAGGAGAACGTCATAGACAAAAAAATCATATATTTACATGGAACTCCAATTGAAATTATTGTGTAATAGATTAAGCAAAACTTCATTTCTGAGTTTCTGGAAAATGTATTTTTAAATTCATATAGCTAATATAAATCAGAGATCATTTAGAATTAGATGTACATTATATAATGACTAATTTTAAATAAAGTATTCATTTCTTAAACAAGATTATAAATTACAGACCAGAATTTAAAATTTTACTTTTATTTTAGTGAAAACAAAAACTTATAGATATTTGATATAAAGTATTCACACATGGAATACATTTCTTCTGTGACACTAAGAAAACGTTCAGGTAAGCTACAACATATTTGGGGGTAAACCTAGGAGTTCTAATTTTTTAAAACCTGTAAGATGATTTGCAACTTTAGAATATCTGATATGCAGTGTGAAAATACTGGTGCAAATTATTATTTATTCTTGATGCTATGTTTTCATTCATCGAAGATTCCTAAACAAGAATCGGAATTTGGTTCACAGTTTATAAACTTTGCACAAATTTTGTTATGATAACCCACAGAGGAAGTTATCTATAAACAAAAACAATCTGATATTTGCTAATTTTATAAAATCCATTGTAAAACTTTCTGGTCTGAAGGTTTAAGTAACAAGATATGGTTTAAGTAACCACAACCCGGGAGAGTGAACAATGACAAATTAACAATATTAGAGAAAGCAGATGACATAGAGTTAATATTCAATATTAACATATATAGTTAAATAAAGTTTCATTATTTTTTACATTGCCTAAGTGATCTAGTAACCTAAATTATAGAATATCTAATCCACCTATGGTTGTTGTCAAATTAAGTAATTAAAAATGCAATGCAGTGTAGAAAAGACACTTTTCTGCTAATTTTTAAAGATATTTACAGCTTAATGTCTTTTAAACAAATTATTTACTCAGATAAATTCTTACAATCATTTGCTGGTTCCTCTGACTATTGAGTGACAATTATTTCTGAATTATATAAATGTATTAATTACCAGCAAATAAATCTTGTTTTAAAAAGCATTGGTAAGTGTGAGCAATTATCAAAATGGAGAATTCTCATTTGTGTCTCTTGTTTAAAGTCTAGTGACTTGTAGTGATCCTATATTTTATACAAATACAAAATCCAACAATTTGCTTTCTTAAGCCTAGATAATATATACGATTACAAATATCTTTACAAATACAAATTTTGTTTAGAAATTGGATTTTATTTTTAGATGTTTCTAAATACAAATGTATTTTATGAATTATCTTAAGCATAAACACAATTATAACATTTATTCATTTATTATTTAAGAAAAATTATTAAAATTCATTGCAAAATATTTGCTAATGGAAAGGCAACAATTTTTATTTACCTAACCTATTATTTCACAGTGTAGTACAGAACCAGTTTGATAAAGACAAAAGTTTGATCTAAAGTGAAATTAGAAACATGGTTTAATTTAAAAAGTCAAAAGATTTATAGAGGGTATATTTCTAATTCAAATAGAATTTTGCTGGTTTAAAATTTTTCCACAGAGCATTGAAATAAATAATTTTTTTTTAGCTTTGCTTTAAGATGTTTAAGGGGTTTAAAGTATTCTACAGATAACAGATTTTTGGACAACACTGAATCTTTCCAAAAATCAGTTAATTTTAAGTTTTTTTTCTTCATGGTAAAAACTCTTGAAGACTTTTTTTCCCTCCAAAATCTCATTTTCACCTGAAATAACTGTATTCAGGTTTTCTCAGCAGGTAAAGGATACATTCTTACAAGGTTTCAAATTTCAGAATTCCAATAATGCATTTAAATTGAGCACCCACCAAATCACTTTCTCTTCTGTGTGTGTGTGTGTGTGTGTGCCTATTATCTTGTTGTTCTGTTATTTACATTGAATTTTAGTCTTTTTAGCTCCCCAGAAATACCTTAGTGAACCCTCAGCAGTTGCTATCCACTTAATAATTGTGAATCGGCCAGCTCCTCCACGTAGATCGTTAACCACAAGAGTGCCTGACAATTTCCAAATCATATCCTCTGTCCAAAAAGAAAAGATAGGGCTTTGTGAGGCCGAAAGGAAGCGAAGGAAAACAAAACAAATGTAGCTCATGCTTAAAGTGAAAAGTGCTTGGACAGATTAGTATTTTCTTTTCTGCAAAGCGTCCTGCCAAGATTTTTTTTCTTTTTTCTTTTTTTTTTTAATAGAGAAGAGTTATTTTTTGGTCTGACTTTTCAGTTTCTTGGAAAGTGTGGGTATTTACCATCCCAACCGGCCCCTCATAATTATTGTTGGTTGTTTTGTGTTTCTTCCCATCCGTCCACATCACAGACTGCTGATACCCCCGCCTGACTCTGTCAAAACGCCAACTCTGGGCGACCCTGGGTGTGGAAACTCCGCGGACTACCGACGACTCATCCCACTCTCTCTCTCTCTCTCTCTCTCGCCTCTAATTTCAGTCGCAAGATCCCCCACTCCAGTTCCAGTGAAAGCCGGAAATTTTCATTTAACAGCCCCCCCTCACCCCCCAGTTACAGCCGAGAGCTGGGGAGCTGGGAGACTTAGAGCACAGCCGGGGTCTCAGCCGCCTCCCTTCTCTCCGGAAAGCTTTAATTTGCACACTTGCCTGCCACTGTGCCGCGAGCCCCCAACCCCGCTGCCGGGTGGGTCTCGGGCAGAGTTGGCCTCCGGGCCTCCGCCCACGTCCCTGCTGCCTCCCCCGGCTCGGGCCCCGAGCCCCGGCCAGAGCCCAGCGGCCCCCATCCGCCCCCAACGAGCCGCGCGGGCGGCGCCCTCCGCCGTCCCTCCGCCCTCCGCCGCTGTGCCCACCCCCTAGCCAGAGAGAGTGCTGGTGACTCCTTCCTCCAAGCCGGGTTACCTGCTCCGCGCGGGCGTGGACACGTGCGGAGGTCGGCCTGACACTCGCAGTCCCCTCTGGAGGCCAGAGGAGGCCGGACCCCTCAGGTAAGGAACTGTGCGCTCGGGTGGGTGGGCTGCAGGGTGGGGGGTCCCTGGAGGGTGGTTGGGGGATTGGTTAGGGTCGGAAGCGAAAGTGTGGGTGACTGTTAGGGGTGTATGTCCTCGGAATCCGCTTTGGTTAACCCCTTACGAACCGAGGCGGGTAGTTACGGGGGCCAGTTTGGGGGAGCTAAAGGAGTCTCTCCTAATCTGGGTAGAGGAGGACATCCCACACTAGGGACACCCCCAACACTGAGATCTTGTGCCTGCTCCCTCATAGCCGTGCGCACAAACACCCACACACACACTCCTTATCCAGTTTCTTCAAACGGAATTTAAATACCACTCGAACACTCACACACTAATCCACATTTAAGGTTGAAAATGCACCGCCTCTGGGGACTTCGTGCGGGAAGAATACGTTTCCGTGCCCCATATTGATTTCTCCACTAGAGCTCTCTCTCCAGCTCGCTGAGGTGTGGATGTGGGTGTGGGCTCCACCTTCCCACCACGAGATAAATGTTATCGCAGGCTCCTCGCTGGCAACCCCTGCGGGCGTGTTATGCACTCTTAGAGCCGTACATGCAGGCTGCCAGTGCCCAGGCTTGGAGCTCCGCAAGATCGCACGTTTACTTTTATAATTTAAAATATTGGAGTTAAAACACACCCGACAGTGAGCAGCTCCCGCCCCGCAGACCGCAGCGCGCCAGTGTGCACGTGGGCGCATCTGCGTGTGCGCACACGTAGGAGCCGTGGTCCCCGGTGCGGCCTCTTGTCGCTGCGCTGGTGGCGACCTTTGCGGTGCTTGGCAGGCCTCGGGAGAGGCACATGAAGGATTTCATTGAGTGTGAAGACAGAGAGCAGAGACAGAAAGCAGAAGGAGGCGGCTGCAGCCTTTGTAGTCGCGGAGGAATGCGGAAATGTTGAAGCACTATGTCAAACTTTTTTGAAATGGGGTCAAGTCACATTCAGCCAGCGTGGGAAAGCAACAACAACAACTTTTTTTTAAAAAAAAAGAGGAGAGGGGAGAAAAAGGCACTGCTGCTCCCGTTTCTCTCCGCGGGAGCCGAAGGTCCAGGGAGCGAGGGGGGCGAGCCAGGGCGGGCGGTGCGGGGCCGGGCGGGGGCAGCGGGCGCTGTTCCCTGCGGGGGTGGGACGTCCGCGACGCTTCCTCCGCTGCAGAGCCTCGGGCTGGAGGGGCCGGGAGCGGGGACCCTGGAGGGGGCTACGCGTCTGGCGGCGACTCCTCCGCTACCTGTGTGGCCCTCGGCCTGGCCCAGACCCCCGGGCAGGCTCTAGGAGCTCGTTCCTCGGCTCCCCTTGGATTTGCCTTCACCTTTTAAGGAGCGTTTTGAATGGAATGAGTGCGAGGGGCTCCGTACACGCTACGGTCCCCTCCGTCCGCACACCGTGGGGGTCGCGCCATTTGTTTCTTTAATTCTTGGAAGAGGGCGAGCGGGCCAGCCCTTGCAGGGCAGGTAATTCCGAAGTGCCCCGAGAATTCCGGACACGCGGCCAGCGTGGCGAACGTCCAGCCGAGACCGCGGCGGCCGTGGGTTGGAGGTTTCCTGGGTCCTGTATTGCAAATGAATGGGGTGGGAAGGTGACCCCTCCCATCCCGCACTTTTTTGTGCGGAGGGCTCGGGGTGGGGATGGGGGTGGGGGTGGGGGGCGCGACTGGCTGCAGGCCTTAAGCCTAAAGGCGAATGGAAACCTCTGCTACCTACATCAGAGATGATCCTGATCATCTAGGGAAAGGTTCGCGACTCCGGGCCCCGAGGGCACGGCCCCCTCTCTCTCACTCGCGGAGGCTCAGCATTTACTGTCCCCACCCCCACCCTTTTTCAAGAGGAGGTTGAGTTTTGCTCTAGTTGAAATCGGCTGAAAATTTCAGGGCGAGTCATAGTTATGTTACCTTCTTCCTTAAGTTGTTCTTTAAAGTGAATACTAGCTAAAATGTGGGCGACTCCCCTCCTCCGGGCCCCACGGCTCACCCACCCTCGAGTAGCGGGAACCCTAGCCCTCCCCGACCTGATGGGTTTCCACCAGGGAGGTCCTCTGAGTCGGAGGAAGAATTCCGTTTCCAACCTAGACTCCTTTGACCCCCAAAAGACCATTTGTGTTTGCAAGTCGTTTTTAAATGTCTCCGCGTAGAAAAACTGAAAGTAGAAAGAAAGGAAGCAATTTCCAAACAGATGTCTGACCACCCCTTCCCCTACACTCCAGCATCGGGTTACAGGGTCCTCGGAGCCCCCACCCACATTCTGCGGCCCCACACGGGTGGACTCACAGTCCTTCCACAGCAGCTTGTGCGCGACCCCTGAACGCCCCTCGGCACCCCGGAGACCCTCTCCCTGCGCGTCCAGGCCTGGGGAGACGGGGAGGGTAGCAGCGCAACACAGTGATATAGGGATAAATATTAAGCCGTGACATTGACGTGCCCGGCGCCTCCCCTTCCCCCTTCCCCCCCGCTCCCGGCACACTCTGGGCTGTTCGGCACGCCCCCTCCGGTTCCACTGCCTCCCGCACCGCGCGGTGCGCTCATCCCCGAGGGGCCCCTGCAACCTCTCCGCGCGAAGACCGCTCCAGCCCTGCAGGGGGAAAAGTAACTTCGCTTTCTCCCAGGAGCCAGGAAGGATTAAGCGGCCTGGAAGAGGGCAGGAGCGCGCGGAGGGCAGCGACAGGGGCTTCGAGAAGGAGGACGAGGGGAGTCTGTAGGAACCCCGAGGAAGGAGCCTGGGATGTCTGATTGCACTTTCTTGTCCTCCCTTCTCCTCTTTTAGGTGGAATGATTGTGGACTGAGACGCGCTCGGGCAGAGAATATGTAATCGTCTCGGTGTCTATACAGAGGACTGCGCTTCGGGGAGGGAAGAGGAGGGATCGGCTTGCTCCTCCGCGACTCGGCAGGCGGAGTTTCGCGGCAGCACCAGGGTTGCGCCCGCCCGCGGGGAGGTCGCTCCATCCAGCCCCGGCGGCCGCGAGAGCCCGAGCGCCGGAGCGCGGTAGTCGGCAGGGGTGAAGGAGAGCGAGACCGAGCTCCGGGGCGCAAGGGAGCGGCCGGGGAGTCCCGGAGGAGGCGAGCGGCGGCCGCGAGCGAGCTAAGCGAGCCCCCCGCCCGTCCCAGCGGCGCCTCGCCGGGTGGCGTCCCGGCGGTATGGAGAAGGACAGCCTGAGCCGCGCGGACCAGCAGTACGAGTGCGTGGCGGAGATCGGGGAGGGCGCCTATGGGAAGGTGTTCAAGGCCCGGGACCTGAAGAACGGAGGCCGTTTCGTGGCGCTGAAGCGCGTGCGGGTGCAGACGGGCGAGGAGGGCATGCCGCTCTCCACCATCCGCGAGGTGGCGGTGCTGAGGCACCTGGAGACTTTCGAGCACCCCAACGTGGTCAGGTGAGTCGGGGAACCGTGCCCGCGCCGTCCGGGGCCGCACTCCGGGGAAGGGCTAGGCCGGGGATCCATGGGTCCAGGAAGGTGCCGGGAAGGAGGGCAGCTGGGGTGGTGCAACCCGTCGATCTGAGAGAGTGAGAGTGAGTTTTGTCCACGGAGCCACGAGCCCGAGCCGGTGATTTTACCAGACAGCAAACTGACAAGTCAAATATGTGACCTGCGCAGGCTTCCCTCCCTGCCCGCCCTTTAAGAGGGTCCGGGAAGTTTGGTGCCTTTTCAGGGACAGAACAAGCCAACCTGAGACACACCCTGCCAGCCCCCGCAGGTTTTCCCTAGCGGTTGGGGAGTTTTTGAGAAACTGAGAGGTAACAGGATGCCGTGATAATTAGGAGCAAGAGAACTTTACTGGTGGAGCCTAATATAGATAAGATTCTAAAAATGCAGAAATTTAATCATATTTTTGCCAATAGCACCCACAGTTTCTCTTTATTAAAGGGGCATAATAATAAGCAGGATTCCTGATGGTCTAAGGACTTCAGTGCTGATGCTGGTTTCCCAACAGTGTCGTTTGAAATTTTTTTCCAAAACTATTGTCTATCTGTCCGTATTACTTTATGTCTCTGGGCCAGCATAGTTCTTGGACTACTTCTCCAAAGGGTTAGATGTGAGTCTCAAGATATGGAATCTTTAGATTCTAAATGCTGTGCGAGTGGATGGGGAGACAGCAGTTCTTAAAGCCTCTCCTGTGTGGTAGCCAGTATTAAAGCGTATGTAACTTAGGATAATGGTGTTTTCTTAGTGATCCTGGAATTTCCCCATTGTGTGGTTGACATCGTGTGGCGTGTTGTCCTTTTATTTTCTAAACAGATGCATAATTTTAAGTCGGAAAGGAATGCACAGAAACTACCACAAATTGGAGTGTGATTTTACCTTTTTCAACTCTTAAATAATGTGTTGGGAAAAGGACATCTTGGGGTCTTCTTCCTGTCTTCTCATCCACGTAGGGATTCTGTTCAACAAATACATGCCTACTGTGTGCACTGTGGATGAAATTATGTAAATAAGCACGGCTAAATATTTTTGTAACAAGTCAAACAATTTAGCATTAGTCATCAAAGTGGAGAGACCCAAGACTGACCTTTGAAATACCAAGCCCTCTACAGACTCAGGGAGCCCAAGTGTCTACAGAATCTTCCTGGGAGGTTTTGACTTGTCTCCTCTTATCCCAGGCTGGGTGATTTGTGGGGTGCTTTGTTCCTGACACAGTTAGACTCAGGGTAGAAGGCAGCAAAGAATCATAAATATATAAATAAGGTAGTAAATGGCTATAAAGATAAGGACCCCATTATACCTCTATTTTAGCCAATAAGGCGGAGAGGGACAAAAGATAATGAGACTGGGAGAATGAGTGTTTTAAGAAGATGGGATCATGTATAAAAGCAATAGATTATCTTTTGTGTGTGTGTGTTTTCTTTGTTGAAAAATAACAAAAACCCCGTTGGGGAGTCTTTGTGATATTGGAGGGAAAGGGGGAGGGAACATTTTGTCCTCTGTAACTTAGTTATTTTCCTAGAGGAATTACCTAAATGCTTCCCAAAGGATGAATTCCACCACTAGAATTTTAGGACCAGTGTTCTTGTTTTATTTTGTATGTTAACCTATGGAGAGTGTCCAGTCAAGGATCATCATGTATATAAATAAAATGCTGCCCCTCCGACGAAGAGGTGTTAAAGAGTCACCCCTGTTGTAACACTATCCTTTACAAGGCAAGTAACAGAGGAAAGTTGTTTTTGCCATTGTGCAGGTAGATTTTGGCTAACCTATCTTATTCTCTTGATTTATCCTCTTGAGATTGGTGTGTCTTTATAGATTTCTAACTGACCCGTGACTTGGATTCTGTACTGAGAAATTTCAGGAGGTTATACTTCTGAAATGAAGAAAAAAAGGGTTTTCTAAAATTATTTTTACATGTTGTGTTGATGATGACACCTGGCCCTTAAGAGTTGTGAGGAAAAACTGAGATAATGTATAAGAGAGCGCTTTGTCAGTTTAAAATTGCTCCAAATGTATTATATGTGTTCAGGCAGATTAGTGGAGCCCTTTTCTTCCCAGCAAGTTCCTAGTAAGGCATCAATTCCTGTGACCTTTTCTGTAGAAGAAATCATACTCAAACCTAGACATGATAGGCTCTGAAACCAAGAAGGTACTTGAATATAATGAGCCCATAGTTTGTCAGAAAAAAATGCCATGAAATACAGTGACACCTGAGAAAATTATTGATGATGTCATTCTCATGAGCTTCAGATCTCCATCTCACTTTGTTTCCTTCCCTTCCCTTCTCTTCCTCCTCTGCCATGGGGCAATCATTGGCCCTCACGACTTGCTTGGCTAGACTAGGAATTCTGGGCTTTTAGAGGTTGCTGATCTTGCTCAGAAAATCAAGGTCAGGAAATCAAGGACAGGTGACAACAATTCTTTTCCTTCCAGGGGAGAGTGTCACAGTTGGGCCCCCAAACCTGTGATTTATTGTTGCCCCACAGGATCAGTTTTACAGTCCTATGGCTGGTTCTTTAAAGGTTTCTTAAAAGGGCAGATGCCTTTATAAGTGCCTTCAAGTCATAAGTAATTGGTCATAATTATAGGCCCTTCCCACGGATAGTTAAGCCTCTAAGCTTGAGGGAGTGTAATAAACATATTAGGTTTTTTTATTTCTTAAAAGTTTAAGATTTAATTTTAATGGATTTGCCAGAAAAGCTGACTTGTTATTGCTGGCACTGGCACTGCCTGCAAGCACAGGGATAATGACTTGAAATTCTTGCCTACCTGTGCTTTATGTATCCCAGGCCTGGGCTTGATCTGTGTCTGGGATGTAAATTTACTCTTATTTTACAGTTGGTCATCCCAAATCCTGGACCCTTTTTCAGAAACAGACTTCACTATGAACTTATATTGGGGCTTCTGCACTCCACAAATGAATTGTTTTACATTCTGAACTAAATATGTATAGGTAGATACAATAATGTTTTTTATCAGCAATCTATTCATTCACCAAATATTTATTGCGTGCCTACTGTGTGCCAGACACTGCTAGAAGCTGGGGATACAACAGTGAACAAGTTAGAAAAAGTCTATACTTTTAGAACTTAACCTTGTAATTGGATGAGCAGCATTTTCTTTTTAAAAACTGACTTCTTTTTATTTCCGCTGGCTTGTGTTGCCATATTTAACCTAACTAGTATTATAGAGCAACTAATAGTTGTGATAATTTGGTTACGAGGAATTTGCTGATTGAATAGATAAGATAACCAAAATGCTAATGAGAATCAAATGCTTTTTTGTTTGTTTGTTTTTAAAATTTTTTTAATATTTTTAAATTAATTTTTTTAATTGAAGAAATGATTTAAATTTTTCCCACATCTACCTTCACCCTTCCTTCTCCCCCCTACCCTCTGGTAACCACTAGTCCATTGTCCATGTCCATGAGTTTCTGTTTGTTTGTCCTGTTCATTTGTTTATATCCCAT